ACCCATGTGACACCTTACGTTGATATAGTCTTGTTAAATTTTGCTGTAACTATGTTTATTTGTATTTATTCTAATGGTATACAGTGTTTTTAGAGGCAGAAAAAACACTTATTACCAAGCTATATGGTTTCTGCTTAGGTGTCCGACTTCTGCACAGTTCTGTACTTTCACATGCTCAGGCACATAAACACGGCTTCATCTGCTAATAAGACCAAAAACAGTTAACATATTAATTTCCCTAGGCAGAAGATACAGCACAACTAATGATGTTTAATATCAATCTAAAGGATTAAACACACTACAACTGTGTCTGCTCTTATCTACAACACACACACATACACATTTAGCATCCCCCCTTTCAATCAAAACACCTGCCCGGCCCTCCCCCACAACAAAAGCATGTCACACACGCTCTTAGCCATACACACCTCAGTGCACGCACATACACAGTTGCTAAAGTGACCTCACTGCCATTTTCCTTGCAGAGCTGTCTATGTGCAGACTGAACTGTGAGCATGCTAACGCTGTTAAATGTTAATTAAGTCAGGGCTGGTTGGACAGACGCTGATGAGAACCATGGCTCTCCTGGAGTTTGCAAATGGGGTTCTGATCTAAGAATGAGGCCAGAATCCATTCATTCTGCCTATTAGGGCCGCTCAATATATAATTTGTAAATCACAACATCGATAAGTATGCAAATGTGTTTTTAACCAATCACTATTTGTTTTTTTGTGTGCTGGCCAATCACAGACAGGTGTTTGGATGAATTAAGGCATGAAGGAACAAATGTATGATATTCCATATATAAAACAATGAAGGCCTATTCATAATGTGTTTCCAGTATTTTGCAAGGAATATCGCAATTGCAATATGTAGCAATAGGCCCATAATAGCAATAAAGCATCACACAGCTCCAAGTAGAACACTGAACTACTGGCTTAATCATCCTTTAAACGAACGCTTTCCACTGTTATAGCCATAATTCACTGGAAATCAAAAACTGGACTAATACCTGCTAATATCTGCAACCAGTTTTGTGGTGATTACACAATAGCTCTGATTAGATTTGCACTAGGAGTGGCAGTTTGTAGCTATTCAACAAATAGAAGGCCCGAAAAGCAGCATCATTTAGGCTGTCCATGAAGTTCAATTAGTAGCTAGCTACAATCAGAAAGCTCTCTTTTGTCTCTGTCCAAAAAAAAAATTATCTCCAAAATGGTAACTACACAGGAAAAGGCAAAACATCAATTACTTCTAATATAAGTTAATGTAAAGAGGTTTTATTCCAACTTTTGGAGCATTTCTATTGGTCTATTTATCATGCAAGTTTCACACAAAGTAAAGGGCATTTGCTGTGCTCAAATGATGTACAAAAAAATGGAGATACTAGTTTTATTTTGTACAGCAACGATTCAGAACATCTTTTGCCCTTCAGTAGATTAATATTGGCTATAGATATTGGCCATAGAGCACTGATTTTAATATAATGAATGCTCATTTAAAAAAAAAGAAAAAAAAAGAAATAAACTGCCCATTAGGAGAAGAGTAAAATGTGATGCATTGCTGGCCCTAAAAAGTCAGTCCACTGTGGCAGACCACTTCAGCACAGTGACTGATCTAAAACTGAGCAGCAAAGTGACCAAGTACAGACTCAGTCTGGCTACAGAGAGTAGCAGACACAAGAACAGAACGTGCAAAATTCACTGAGTTTTGCAAAGAAGTCTCTACAAGAATTAGCAATAAATATCTCTTAGTGGGCAACCTCTCTAAATGACCATACTTATCAGGAGAACACAGTGAATGGTGCAAACTGGCACAATGCATCCTGGCTTGCCACTATAAGTGAAACAGCAAGTGACCACATCACACTTTAAAGATTGAGTCCACACAAACATTTAAGTGTACTCTGTATGTGTCTCTATATATGTCATGTATATATATGTAGGCTTTCCTCTTCTTATGCTCCTACAATTTCAACAGCACAATCTTGAAATGTTTAATGTTTGAGCTTACCAGTTTAAACTGTATTGTCATTATAACTTGCCTAATCATTATTCTTTTCCCCCCAAATTCTTTTTTTGTATTTTTTTTTTTTTATTTTCAAACTCTGGAGTCTGAGCTTATGAAATACAAATGTAGCATTACATTACAAGCCAATAAAGCAGACTGAATTGAACTGAATTTAAATTGAACTGATTGAACTGAATTTAAATTGAATTTGAGTTGGATATGGCAGTGATCTGAGATGCAGCCTGTAATAGAATAGCACCGTAACAAAAGGGTTCAAATGAGGGTGAGAGTATCATCAGGCTAACACAATGGATTTAAATGAGTGTGTCATTAAATGTGTTTGTGTTTGTGTGTGTGTGTGTGTGTGTGTGTGTGTGTGTGTGTGTGTGTACGTGTACGTGTACTGCCGCTTTTGTTGTGCCTGAATGCGTGACGAACACAGCTAAGCAAACATGTTGGGATGGCAACTGGATCCAGGGAGCAAGAGATAGCAGAGATGGGCAGATGATAAGAGGCAGAGAAGAGAAGAGAAGAGAAGAAAGAAACAAACAAGGAGGAGAAGACAAGCAAGGAAACAAGAAAAGAGAATGAGATGAGAGACTAGAAAAGAGAGAAGCTGTGATGATATGACAAAAAAGAGGTAGAAAATATGAGAAAAGAGAAGAGTTAGACAAAATGAGACAAGAGGTACAAAAAAGAGAAAAGAGAACAGGTAAGAAATGAGGGAAGAAGTAGGAAAAAAAGAGAAGATAAATAGAGACAAGCGAACGAGGAAAAGAGCTTTACCCCTCCTCCTCCTCTTTGTCTGTTTTCTCCCCTCTCTCGCTCTCTCTGTCCACAATCTGTGTGCCTCTCACCTGAAATTAAACATAGGGCCAGGTGCCACTCCAACTATACCATCTGTTCCACCCCTCCCTCCCTCAGTCACTCTGTTTTCTCTTTCTTGCTCTCCTATATTCCCAGGACTCTTTACTAAATGGTCCCAGGGCGGTTACCTAAGCGCTTCAATGTATATAAGTGATACTACGAGAAACTACCTAGAAAAACTTTGATCATGAGAGAGAGATGAGCCTGTTTTTATCTTTTCTTTTTTTTTCTTTTTTACAGTCCAGCTCACTGTGCCTATCTGAGTCACGCACATGCTAAGCATTCATGGAGGTGCATTGTCATGGCAATTCTATATGACTGACAGAGCAGGGGGGTGTGGTCTACCCCAAGAGGCAGGTGCTGTCAGCCGGTAATAATGCCACACAGCTGGGGTGTGCGTGCAGGAGAGAGAGAGAGTGAGAGAGGGAGAGACTGCTGTTTAGTGTTGGGGGGGATGTGTTCTTAATAATGTGGTTTTCCTTGTAGCAGAGAAAGCACGGGGAAGGGGTGTGGAGTGGAAGTCCGGTCTGGATGGTTTTGGAGACGGTCTCGCAAGGCTTAGGTGATGAGGGCAGACAAATGGAAGGATGGAGGGATTGAGAAGGAGGATTTAAGTGAGGCACCAACAAGCCTCCTCTTTGAAAGGTCATGAAGGTCAGACTACTGTCATGCTAATAATAGGATTTTGAAAGGAGCTCCTGGGTCTCTACAGGGCCACATGCCTACTTGATATTGATTTAGCAGTATTGGTAAATAACAAACTTAGTTAACTGCAGCATATATCATTTGCTACTCGAGATTGGCATTAAAGAACAGTACAGTGTGTTCTGGCTACAAATTACATAAAAAAAAAGCATGTTTCCTGTCCGGAAATCTTTTGTTTTTTTCTTGTTAATGTTTACAACAGTGTTTAAGGCTCTTTTTGGTGTCATTATAAGAAAAGAAAAAAGATCAAAGCAAGCCATGTCAGGTTTATAAGGCATTCTTTTAGCATAAAGTACCACATACAGGTACATTAATTGCATTAATGCAGGCTTAAATATCATCTAATAACATCATTTATTTGAAAAAATGAACTTCATCAGTCTCGCTAGCACTAAAGTACCTGCGCATAAATGTAAACATTGAGTCTACACGCTGTATAAATAGTTGGCTTTCTATAATGTGTTCATCTGTAATCCCCCATTTCTCTGACCCCTCAATAAGTCTCGGCAGGCTAACGGCATCTCCTAGCACAATGGATGCAAATCAGAACTGAATCGCTTCCTTTATCGTTCGCGAACGGGTGGCGGACATTCTCCCACTCCGCTTTCCCCCCTCAGGCCGATTACATTTACTCAAATCCAATTTAAAGGAAAAAGCAAATGCCCTCCTGGTCTTCATTGCCAGCTCTTAACCTACTGGAACATAAAGCTGACGGAGTGTAGTCCTATTACAGGAATACTGGAGAATACTACAGAAACCCACCGCCTCAAAGCACATTTATAACAGAGTCTGTTTTGAGTCAATGGATTTTGTTCTTTTACTTAGAACAGCGAATGCATTTAACATCTTTGGCAATCGGCTGAAATATTCCTTTAAGGCCTCATTCCAAACCCAACAGACCCTTCAGGACCCTCAGTGCAGGCCTGAAAGGCAAGAAAGGACACAAGCCAAAAGGTTTCGACCATGTTCCTGAAGCCCATGGTATGATAAATAAGGGAATAAGGACTGATTTGAGCCAGAACATAAGGGTGGGAGGACTTTAAGCGGGGGGGGTGCGGTTTGAAGATTTTTCGAATTTGCAGGTTGCTCATTATTGTGCGGATAGAGCAGATGGCCGAGCGAGTTAGCTAATCAACAACTTCAGAGAGAGTGCCACCATCGCGGATGCCTTCTCAAGGATTATGCTCCTCCTACATGCCTAATTAGAGTCTGGTTGGTTGGCAAAGACTTCCACAGCTCCCCCCGATTCTCAACACCATGTAGCACATCTCATTTGCTATACATAGAACATTATATTTAATGCTCTGTAATACTTAAAGGAAATTTTATGTTATATGGACCACATTGACCATTTCATCGTCCAGCCTGCTGTAATAATGCCATGACATGAAAAAACTGGATTATGAGAAGCCACTTACCCCTGGCAACGTTTTCTGTTCATGCAACGCGTTCTGGGCCTTCAAAGCGGACTCCCTGGCGCAGTACGTCAAGAACGCACATCCTGTTGGAACAGAACAGAAAAAGGAACTGATTGCACAATACTTATTTTGGTGGTTATGATATTCTGTACACACAAAAAACAACCAAAGCCGTATTTATTGTTCAGCAGTGCAAAGAAACGACTTTGCTGCTACCAGAAACAACACGTTAGTCACATAAGACAATCAAACAACAACAACAACACACACAGACACAACAGCCACCTTATTTTTTTCCATCTCAATCTAGAGCCACTCACATTTGATCAAGTTTGGCTGAAAACAACCCGTCATGGGTGTGCACGTATTTATAAAGTTATTACATTTCACGACACAAATAGCTGCGCTGTGGAGAGCTCATCCCCTGCCAACAGCCCGTCTCTCTCCTCTTCCCTCTCCCCTTGAGGCTGCCCGTTCAATAGTGTCATTGCTGAGTTACCTTTGTGCATGCCCGTGTACTTGTCCTTGATGACCGTCAGCTCATAGATCTTGCCGAACTGCTCGAAGATGGGCTTCAGGTCTTTCTCCTCCAGGTTCCTGGGGATCTGGCCGATGAAGAGCTTGATGGCGTCGGGCTCCTTCATTGCGACGGACTCGCGGCGCCCTCGGAAGGGGGAGAGAGGGTCTCCGGTACAGGGGCTTCCTTCAGCCGGCTCTGAAGAGGAAGACGTCAAAAACAAAACAATGAAGGGGTGGGAGCGAGAGGCGACCACACAGGACAGAGACGGGAGCAGATGAGCGCTTAGAGTGAGAAGAAAGAAGAATTCAAGAAAAATATAATTATAATAATGATAATAATAATAATAATAATAATAGCAGTAGCAATAATTACAACAATAGTAACAGTATGAACATCACTTGAACATACATGTACAGTCACATACAAGCATAGAGCATGCGTGCCTATATAGACATATGTATTTATATATACAGCATACATGTCTATTTACCCACATATGCACATACACACATATATAAAAACACACTTACACATATACACACATACATAATTGACTAATAGGAGAAGACCAAAAATTTAGGCAAAAAATACATTTTTCAAGCCCTAAACTGAATTAAAACTCATATTGTGTGCTATGAAAAATCCCATAAACAAACCACATTGCCTCTGTATTGTACAGAGCTATGTGGTGCCGGGTGACCTGGCTGCTTCTTTGTTTAATCCCGTATAGATGCACACAGCCGTATGTCACGCTCTTTGTCCCAGGACCCTCACAGCCTACGTGACTGAGAGCAACAAGACAGCCAGCGCTCCCTGCCTTACAGCCTCCAACGGGCTTTTTAAACGAATATCAGCCGTTAAAAATGTCCTTGTATCTTACATGATCCAGCTCCTGTAGTGGAAATCTCTGCTGCTCTTCTCCGTCTCTCTCTCAGTGTTAATCCTGAGGGGGGTTGATGCTGGCTTGTTTTCTCGCAGCCTCTCTCACTCGGGTCCTCGCGTCGTCCCCGCCAGCGATGCTGGAGATAAAGGAGCTTTGTGGAGATGATGGTGGTGACCGAGTCTGGAGGGGGTCTGTGCTGTGTGTCCTCTCGCTCGCGCTGATTACCTCTTTATCTCCGGCGCGATTCAGTGTCGACCGCTCTCGGTTTCAAAACGCGGTTTTACTGAAAAGGATGAAAATGTCCCTGCGAGGCGGTCCAGCTGCTCTCGGGCTGTGTGAGCGGTCTGGACAGTCTCTCTGTGAAGGTACCCCGGCGCTTTGACGTCGTAAGCCGGTGTCTCCCCCCATGTCCAGCCCCCACCCTCCCGCAGCGGGGGGAGTGTGGAAAAGCGGGGGCTCTGCTCAAGGGAGCGTCCACATTTTCTTTAACAGAGACCACACGAAGCCAGGTGGAACGATACTGTACATTTTAAAATTTAATTCGCTGCTAATTAACAAATGCAGGTCAAACAATGTTCATTCTCTGACTGCGACCAGAGTCATATTAGTCATGTATTTACATTTGAAGACATGAATTTCATAGAGGTAGACCATACTAAGGGCCCTCATGTTTATAACCTCAAATACACAAAAGCAAGACAAACACATACAGTTAGCTCTATAATTATTAGGACCCTTAGAATATGACTAAAAAAGGTCACAAAAATGTATTTGTGATTAATTAGTTCTATCTCTCACAAAATATGAGAAATCTAACCTCTAAATAGGTTTTAGTCTAAGAAAACTGTGCATATACACACACTATATATACACGTGTGTGTGGTTAAATGATTAACAAGAAAGGCATGTTTCTATTGTCTTGTTTGCTTAACTATATTCATGCCATATTTGAATATTTGAATTGTATTCACATTTCAAGACTTGCTGCTGAAAAACAATATCTATCCTAAATGTTTACAAATGCATTACAATGCTGTACTGATGACATTAAATATCATAAGGCATATTAAATATTATAAAAAGACCAGTTTATATTATACATATATTATACTGCAGCAGTACTGATATACAGAATAGCACTGCAACATAGTAACGTTTAAAATATCGAATCAGTGTTTCGCTAATCAAACCTGTATCGTAGTGTGGAAAGGCCTGAATATTAGAGAGATGTTTTGTCCCTCCTCGTGTTCGTCTTTGAGTTTGCACGTAGTTTACAGACGGTGCCTGACGCCGGGGACGCTAATCCGCCTTTTGTTCTCTCAGGCTCTGACCGCGGTGCTGAAACCGTCCGCGGCCATGAGGCTTTCGGTGGCAGCTTTATCACCACACAGTCAAACAACTGCAGCGGCTTTACAGCTTAAACCACCCACAGGACCGAGCAGAGACACAGCAATATGAGACAGTGCTGAAAACTAGCCGTGCAGGCGAACGTTACCTCAGGAGGAGGAAACAGCACAGATGCTGTAGTAAACAGCAGCAAGGCTACTTCATAAAAACACAGCCTATCGTGGTCTCGTTTGGGGGGTTTTAAGCGTGTGACCGGGAATTTGCTTTAATTTGAACGGCTTGGCAACCATCTGCTGCCCCTAAATCCCACAAAGTCCGTCTCTGTCCAGATCCCAAAGTCCACACAAAGGGCTTAGTGGGCTTCTCACCTTTCGACCCCAATTTAAAGCACGAACCATCGACAACTGCGCTAAGGAGCATTCAGCATCCAGGCACAGAGTAAACACAAAACACAGTGTAAACACAATGAATCTCGGTTTGCCCTTAAGAACACAGGAGGGAATCACCTGGCAGCGAGTGCAGCGACACCTGGCGGTGATTCAAGTAACCAGCAGCCAAACACCAGTGGAAAGTGTTGGTGTGGTCTTAAAGGGCCAATATGACGGAAAAAGACATTTTCCTCGATTTTTATAAATGACATAATAACTAAGCCCGTTCTGGACTGACTGTGTTTGTGTTTTGTCACGAAAACCAACACAAATAATCTAAATATACAGTGAATATATGTATATCCAGTCTACAGCTGTTTAGCCCCACACATTCACACTTAAGTTATAAGGAGCGTTTCTGAATGACACACAACAGCCTTATAGACTCAGTGACAAAACAGCCTGTTTAATTCCAATGAATAAAAAAGGAAGCTGAAAAATGAATTAGAACTGTTTTTGGCATGTAAAACTCCACGAAAGTGGACCTTTAAAAATTTGTGGAAAAAATACAGAATATCGGTTCTTTAAACATACTTTTGTACATCAGCCATTATTATACATTAAATTATATTATTCTGTACTGTATTATATCACATACCATCTACATGATAAATTATATTTTATTATATTATCTGTATATCCAGCCTATAGCAGTTTAACCCACATTCTCGGTGAAGGAGTAGGTCATCACAGGTTCAACTTTTTTTTAATGAAGCACAATACAGGGCAGCCAATCAGAACAGAGCTCTTTTACATGTAAGTGTTAAAAGCAAAGTAACACTAACAGCCTGTTTAATTCTAAGGGACTAAGAGAGGCTGGGAAAAATGTAAAATTAATTTGAACTGCTTTTGGTACATTCAGCCAAACAAATGTTAAAGTCTAAGTGGAAAATTAAAATACTGCATGTCATTTCTTAATAATCAGTGGTTATACATTTTGGTTTGTGGTAAACTACCCTGATGAATCTTTTAATAATGGCACAGCAAGTCTTCATTCATTTCTGAAAGCTGTTTTTTTGTGAACAGTTTAACAGGCATCATATATTTGTTTTTTCTAACCAGGCGGTGGACCCTTAGTAATCCCGATAACACACAGAGTATGAAAAGATAGTGTTCTTTAATGTGAGCTGTGAAAGCGCTCAGACCAATAACACTGTGGTATAAGCGTCGAATAAAGCATCAGATCACAATGTGACAGCACAGTAAGAGCTGGACAAACTATATCTTTTTATTGAATATCAGCACATGTCTGGTCATACATGAGACAAACTCACCTCCTTGAGCACTGATGTAACATGCAGGAAAAAAAGAATTTGAAAAGCAGCACAGATCAACAGAGGAAAACGGAGCATGATGCCTAACGGGCATCTGTATGGCTCCAGTTCTGGAAAATGTGCAGCGTTACAAACAGTATCAGTAGATCAGCCTGCGTCTACTCTCAGTTATGCAAGAAATGATGATGCCCTGCTTCGGTTTTTTAACACAAACACAGACACTTACATTACAATTTTAATAGGGGTTTTATACATATATACGTACATACATACACTCACACATACACATTCCATGTTTTTTGAGACCATTTGAAAATACCAGATGCCATTTACATTTTGTCAAAGGCATCTGATGTGGCCTGATAGAAAAAGCCCAAAATTGTTTGGATTAAAATCTCATTATATCAAGAGTAGGAGACTGCAGTCTTGGAGGGCCAGAGGGTTAGATAATTTTCCTGCTCAAACAAACCTGATTTAACTCTGGTTTGTTAGAGTGTAGATAATCAGTAAACTGTGCTTGACCCGTTCCTCACCTCAGATTCACATTAACATTTAATAAAACATCCCACATCTTACATTTTTCTTGTATTTTATTTTCTCTCCTGAGGTCCACTTCTAACATTGTTTTTTGTATTTTTTTTTGTATTGTTTTTTGTAAAATGGTCATAATTAATTTTTACATGAACATCAACTTTTCTTCATCCTTCAGAATTAAACAGTTTGTTTTTATTACTGTACTTTTAAGACTGATATATGTGAACAAATTCTGTTCTGATTGACTGCCCTGTCACTCAAAAAGCACTCAGTGCTGAAACACTCCCTATAACTTCAGCGTGAATGGGCGAAGCTAAACTGCTTTATGCTAAATAGATGTATGTATGTAAATTAGATGGTTCTCGTGACATCACAGAAGCAATGAATGCAAAACAGGCTGTTTTTGCAGCTTAGTTGCCCTATATGGACTGGGGGTGATGAGTATGTTCTGAAACCTTTACAAATGTTTACATATCACTTTAAACTCCTTCATTTCAAAAAAGTGAAGGAAATTTGTTTTTTACATGATACGGGCTCTCTCAAGTTAAAAGAACAGTCCAGCCATGCTAGGAATATGCCCTTTTGTTGATGTGTTGATGAGCAAGTTTAGAAATGCTGCAACTGCGACAAGAAGTGCTGGACGTGCACATGCACACACTCACCCTGCCTTTTGTTTAAAATGTGTTTCAAGTCATTTCAAATCAGCCCACCCCTAAATATCCATCCCAAAACAGCTTGATTTTTCAAAGCTTCCTCCCACCTTTGGATACATCAGCCGAAGGTGGTTTTCCTAGTCTGGCCAGATTGTCCCTTTGAGAACGTTTTCTTTCTTCTTCTATGAAACTAAAATTTTGGAGAAATGGGGTTTGTCATGACATCAGCAGCATACAATTTTTTCTCAGCAAAGCAGCAAAATGTAAAGGAGAATGTGATCCTCAGAGAACGAAACCAGGATACAGCCTATACGGAGGCTATGAGGACAAAATTCAAACCGAAGGGTGCCTTGGAGGTGAACCAGGGGAAACCAAGGCTATGTTTATTGAGCCAGTCTGACCCTCTGTATATACAGTCGCATGCAAAAGTTTGTACATCCTGGTCAAATTACATCTTTTGTTGATTTTCTAAGTAAAAAACACATCCAACAAACTTAAATATGCAATTTTCTGCAAACGTACTGCACAATTTCTATCTATGTAATAATTTCAACATTGTAAAAAAATAAAATATAATACAAAACATGCCATAACTTTTGCACAGGCAGAGTTTTAGTTTTTTTATGTCAATGTTAAATTCAGCAAATAAACAGTAATGTGTATAAAAATGTGTCAACAAAACATGTCATTTGACCAGGGGCGCCTAGTTGCACACAACTAACTTCACAATAACAAAAAACCCCATAAAAAATAAATAATAATAATAAAGAAACAAATACTAGCTTGTCAGATCTTTTCTTATCTAGGCCACAATCATATAGTAACCAGTCATTTCTGTAACATATTATGTCATATTTAAACACGCAAATCCAGAAACGAATGTTTACTGCACAGTTTAAATGCAGCCTCATGGACACTGCAGTGCTCTGTAGATCATGCGGTGCCAGTAGGGAGCACCAAAGCTCCAACCTCATAAGTATTGTTGGTGCGTTGCTGGAAACTGGCTCTGCTGAGAATATCTTTGAATCAACCTGTACATGACCATCTCACTCATACAGTAAAAAGCAGAAGACTCTGTCCTTGGTCACTTCAACTTCATTTAAACACTGTCTTTTACCTCAAGCAACAAGACATGCATTCACATGCATTCACTGAAAACTCCCATATCACAAAAAGTTCCAATGACAAAAAACAGCTTAGATTCTCAAACATGTATAATCTGCACTATGTCTAATAACATATAGTTTACCTTGAATTTCAAGTAGGTGAAATATCCAGACAGTTGGCGTCCTCTAACCCTCTCTGTTGTCAGGCAGAAGAAATCCTTCTCAACAACAAGGAGCGCTCACTGGTACAGCTGGAAGTGAGAGAGAAAAGGAAAGACTGATGAAGTAGAAGAGAACAGAATAGGAAATGAATAAGAAACAAAAGGGCAGAGGTCAAAATCATAGAGAACCAAATCTGAATATGTACAGCACTAACAAATATTCAGTGCAATTTAACACCATATAAGTAAACCCTTTAAAAATGGTTCTTTGAAGGGTTCACTAGTAAAGGC